GGGGGGGGGGAGGCGGCGGACTCTGGGTCGAAGCGGACACCAGCCGTTCGGGAAGTTGGGGGATAAAGAATGCGAAGGGAAGGAGAGGGCGAAGTTTGGCGTTGGCTCGGCGGCGGTCGTCTCAGAGTCGTCTCCCGCTCGCACTGTCGGCCGCTACCGGCCTGCTCCCCCGCCCCAGGGATGCCTTTTCTCCGCGGTCCCCGGCCCCGCGGAAACAGCTGCTCTGGCCGTCGTCGCCGGGGCAGGAGCGGCCCCGAGAGGGGCTGAGTGGGGGGGAGCTGGAAAGGCGTTCCCGGGGAGGGCGGCTGGCTGCAAGGGCGCCAGGCGGCCTCTGCCCAGGCCTCGCACGCCGGCCTCGCTGCCTGCTCAGCCCCTCGGCTCTCCCTTTGCCCCTTAATTTTTTTGCCTCTTGGGTACCTTTCTCTTTCAGCCTCCGCACTCTCACTTTCTCTCTCTCTCTCCGATGCTACCTTTAGTACATCGACATCACTTGCAGCCGAATATGCGATGTCTCCGAGAGCCCAGTTACCAGCCCCCTTAGACCTCCCGGGATAGCTAGGCTTCACTTCCCCCCCGCCCCCCTGCGGCGCCCCACCCTTGTAGTCGGGGTCAGGCTACAGCTCTTTGCCCTTTCTCTTCCCCTGATCTCTGGTGGAACCTTAGTTTGGTAGGAGGTGTGTGTTAACCCGTGTCACATCTACCTGACTTGGCAATGCGTGGTTTTCTGGCTTTCCAACTTAATATAACCCCTTTTTTCCGAGCCCAAGGAGTTTGTGTGTTTTTGTGGCAACCACACTTGGAGTTCTGTAGAGCTTGACTCCTCATTGTTTATAGCCTGCACTTACTTTACCAGCGAAACCTAGGAAGAGAAGGTAGAACCCTGGTTTGAGTGTCCAGTGAGCGCTTTTTAGATTCTAACGGCTCAAGTAAAGAAAGAGACCACTTGTTTTCTTAGAAGGATTTTGTGCTTTTGTTTCTTGAAAAATAAGCAAGTCTCCCTATCCCCCTCTGGATTTTTCTCCTAGAAAGGCCAGAACAGTGGTTTTCTTTTATCTCTTCTCCTTTTTTCATCATCTTCCTCTTTTGTGCACGTATTTGGTTCACATTTACGTCTGTGCTTTTGTGTAATCCCCTTTCAAGCTGTTTCTCATACAGTATTTTTACTTACTTGCTTGTCCCTCAGGACTTTCCTGCAGAATAGGGAAAAAAATGTATATAATATTCCTACTTGAAAAGATGTCATGAAGTGGTGCAGAGAAAAAACAAGAACAATTTCAGGAAACATTATATTTTACACTAATCTCCCCAGAGACGTTAGAGAAGTTCCGTCATTTGAGGACCCAAAAGGAACTGGAACACCAGTTGAACAGTAGCTGGGCTATATGACCAATTTAAGATTATTTGTATTAAGATTAAAAGTATTTGTTTTAAGACTGAAAATTAAAATCCACAGTATTTGTGATTATATTTCACAAGAGAATTATGGGAATGATTAATTTGCTGGTAGATTTAGGCTTCAAGTGTCTGGAAAAGACCAGTTTTTGCTTGCTTGTTTTGTTTTTAATCCTCAGATGAGGATATTTCCCCCCCCCCATTGCTTTTCAGAGAGAGTGGAAGGGAAGAGAGAGAGGGAGAGGAGCATCGATGTGAGAGAGAGAAACACTGATTGGTTGCCTCCAGCACGCACCCCGATGGGGGTGGGGATTGAGCCTGCAACGGAGGACCATGCCCTTGGCCGGAATAGAACCCGGGACCCTTCAGCCCACCAGCAGATGCTCTAACCACTGGGCAAAAATGGATGGGGCAACAAGTTTGTTTTTAAGAGAAAAATCAGTCATTACGGAACTCAGTATTGATAATTGTGAATTTTACATGGCGACTTAAGCAACAGAAAAAAAATACTTGCCAGTGTAATACTGCGTTTTTCTGTGTTCTAGTCTTTGTCTTATCACCCTGTATTCCGTTGTGTCTTATGATGGGAGGAATGGAAAACTGTTCCCTATTTTAACTAAAATAAAACTAAGTCTTTTTATTTGTAGTTTTAAAACATGTGATACAGATTTTCTGGTAGTATCTTGGCAAATATTTTAATATAGCTAAATCAAGATTTTTCAAACACAACACGACTTTCTGTGGTTATTCTGTGTCTTAGGTGAAAATTTTTTTCTTGACCGTTTTAACAGCAAAGCTTAACTTTTTTCATAACAATTCAATTGCACATAGAACTGCAACCAAATTATAAAATTTGTTCATTCACTCATTAATTATTACTATTATTTTAAATACTTTTTTATTGACTTTAGAGAGAGAGGAAGGGAGAGAGAGAGAGAAACATTGCTCTGGATCAGCTGCCTTCTGCACTCTCCATGTCTGGGATGGAGCCTGAAACCTGGGCATGTGCTCTGACCAGGAATCTACCCGGTGACGACCTGGTGCATGGGTGGATGCTCAACCACTGAACTACACTGGCTGGGCCATCAGTTATTTTTTGAGGGCCCACTGTGTGTCGGGTACTCATCTAGGTGCTGAGGATACAGCAGTGAACAAAAGGAGACAAGATTTCTGCCTTTTTGAATATAAAAAGTCTGGTTAGAGACAGGAACAAAATAGTTAATTGTGTATTATATTAGAAGGTGGTAGTGTTGTGGAGAAAAGGCTTGGAAGGAGGTTAGGAAATGGAATTTGGGGATTTCAGTTAGAGTGCCTAAGAAAAAGTGTGGCGTACACAAATGCTGTGCTCTGACCAAGTCATTACCTAAAAAGTTTTCAGATTTTTTTATCTTACCCACACCAGGATATTACTGCTGCCAAGAGATTACTTAAGCAGTAAGAGGAACTATATTTTGCATATTACACAAATTAACATAGGATTTGATTACTTGAATTAATAAAAGTGAAATAGTCTTTAGGATCAGTAACTAAGAGTAGACTTTGAATTTCTCCTTGGAGAGTATGTATTTTAAAGTTGAGGTTGTAACTGCATCGGTGTACTCTATCAGTGCCTCCCAGCCTTTTTTTTAGGTCATGATACATGGAGAAGATAAGTTTTGAATCACATGCTAAGTAAGAATGGTGAGGTTCTTGGAGGTTGAAAGCACCTAGGCAGCTCTGTGAAACGGTGGTGGTGTAAGGATCAGTATTCTGGCACACCTGTAATGCTGGGGAAGCTCTGCTCTATCATATTGCTAGAGTTGTCCTTTAATAATACACAAGATTTTGGTTTTCAAACTAGTGAACCTTTTGAGACATGGTTTCCTGGTTTTTTATTTTTGGAACAAAGTCACAAATCACCAAGAAGATCATGATTCAATTATGTTTCTTGTTGTTTTTTTCTTTTTTTTAAGAGAGAGAGGAGGGGGGGAGAGAGAGAGAGAGACATTGATTTGTTGTTCCACTTACTTATGCATTCATTGGTTGATTCTTTATGTGCCCTGCCTGGGGATTAAACCCACAACCTTGGATTGAACACACAACCTTGGTGTATTGGGATGACACTCTAACCAACTGAACTACCTGATTAGGACCGGATTATGTTTTTAAGAAACTATTCTTAGAGAATGGTAGACTCATGATGGTACTTAAAATTGGTAGTAGTTAGAATAAAAAAGTAGTAATACATTTAATTTTGATAATTCTAGAAATCT